TTAATAAAACGAGCGGTTCGAATTTATATCAATATATTTATTTATAACTTTACAGTTCGATACTATCTTATCAACTAAACTAACTCCTAAGATCGTTACATATATATACCAAAGTTACTATTTTCTAGAAAGTTCCCACCTCTAGGCGTATACGTGACCGATCGTTCTCTTGCCTTCGAGGGATCTATTCATCGATGATTCTCGATGCCGAGATGCTTCGAGATGCAACCGTTAGACGGGCCGCGCTGAATGCATTTTCGTAACACTGCTCCCCTCTTAGATCTGAGCGTCCCGATCAGCAACTCTATATGTAGGCCCAGGATGGCGGAATCTACAGGACTCTCCAGCTCTGCATGCACCCCTCAGAAAGAAATAACGGTCTACTGTCTTTGAAGGACACGATCTCTTCGGATTAGTACAACACACAGTAATTTTTACGCCGGTTTCTCGGAAGATCACTTCAAGCATGCTTCTGACAATCTTCCAATCCAGATTATCTAGTGCATGGCCTATCTTGGGTAAGGCCAAATTCTTAATGTCGCAATTGCAGACGATTTTCTTCAAATTAGTTAGAGCACACCATATATCCTCGCAGGTTGCCCTGTCTGTATACGACTTCCTGGTCACCATATACAGCAAAGATCGAGAACCATCTTCTAATCTCAGCACTCTTCCAACTTTAGGCTGCTGGTTTTTTAACTCGTCCAAGCGACCAAATTTTTTATAAAATACGGATGAGATTCCTTTAGTCATCTCAAGATCTTGGGCAACACAGTGGGCTAGAGAGACGTTATGCGGAACACTAAAAAGATCCTGCTGAACTTCTGTCGTCACGCCGAATCTAGCATTCTTTCTCTCTGCGTAATTTGACATAAACTCATTAAAGCTTGGTCGCCGTTTATCTTTGATCTCATGTTGAAGGGTTCGGACTTCTTCGGTTTCATTTGAGCCAGCATAAGGGGCAAGACGATTTATGTGAACTACTTTTGGTTTACCTTTCGGCAACTTCTTAATTCGGTATATTACGTCATTTATTCTCTTTTTAATTTCATACTGACCCTCCCATTGTCTTTGCAGTTTAGGAGACAAGCCACGACGACGTTGTGGATTATAAAGCCAAACAAGATCACCTACTTCATAGCTTTCATTCTTGCATCGAGAATCGTATTGATCTTTCATTCTGTCACTGGCTAACTGGATGTGTTGTCGGGCAAGTTCATGAATGTTGTTCATTCTTAACTTCAGACGATCGACATAATCTTCGCTTGCAACATGTTCTTCGGAAGGTCTGCAGCCAAACTCTAGGTCGCAGGGCAAACGAACTTCACGACCTAACATCAGACAGGTTGGAGTCTGGCCTGTAGTTTCATTCACGGCCGAGCGGTATGCCATTAAGAATAAATGAATGTGCTGATCCCAATCTCTTTGATGTTTTGATACAACTTTGGACAGGTGTTTACCCATCGTTCGGTTCATCCTCTCGACCATTCCATCTGATTGAGGATGCAGGGGTGTCGTTCTGGTCTTATTGACACCAATCAATTTACAAACGTTTTGGAAAAGGTTTGACTCGAAGTTTCGCCCTTGGTCGGAGTGGATCTCCAAGGGAACACCAAATCGGCTAAAGAATTCTTTAACAAGTACCTCTGCTACGGTAGCAGCTTCTTGATTTGGTATCGCATAGGCCTCAGTCCATTTCGTAAAATAATCCATGGCTACCAGGATATATTTATTTCCATCATTCGTCTCTGGAAGTGGACCTGCAATGTCGATTGCTACTCTCTCCATAGGACTACCAACATTGTACTGTTTCATGGGTGCCCTCTTTTTACCAACTGGACCATTACTAGTTGCACACAGTTCACATTTCCGGCACCATCTTCTTACATCATCTTTACAGTTCACCCAATAGAACCGTTCTCGAACCTTTTGCAGAGTCTTCGTAATACCAAAGTGTCCACCTGATGCACCGTCATGCAACTGACGCAATACTTCTGACACTTTACTTTTAGGTACAATCAACTGAAGCTTAGTTTCTGTACCATCATCGTTCTCAAAGGTTCTATACAGAAGATCATCTTTCAGCACTAGGCAATTCCATTGGCTCCAGTAACACTTGACTTCGGGACTACATGCACTAATGTCTTGCCAAGAAGGTCTTTCACTTCGACGCACCCAATCCAATACTCTTTTTATACATGCATCATCTGCTTGAGCGTCTTGTAGCTGTTGAGGCTGCCATTGATCATTAATAACGGTGGTTCGCCTCACGGGGCAAAGTCGTTCTTCTAATTTAAGACAATGATTACGATTTTCACTGTATGGCCGTCTTGATTGAACATCAGCATTTGAATGACTTTTTCTAGCGTGCTCGATCTGTTCTAGATTTCTGACTGTTGTATTATTTTCTTGCACTTTGTGGCGAATGTGACCTTCGTTGTTACCATTCCAACATCTGGGTTCACGTCTCTTCGGCATCATGTTACGAACTACTTTCCGTACGATTTCCTCCAGACGTTTATCGTTTCGTTCGTCACTCTCTTCAGAGGTTCGTACTTGATAGCTCCGTGAAACTCGACTAGCTATCTCATGTTCCAAGGCAATGGCGAGCGCTTCATCTAAAACTTTCGGTCTTGCTAGTCGTAAAGCTTTCTCTAGTTCACTGTCTCTCAACCCATTGACGAAGGCATCTACAGCAATTTCTTCCAAAATGTTGTCTGGTGCCTCTGGATAGGCCAACAGCGCTATACGAGCAATATCTGCTTCAAATTCTTGCAAACTCTCACTTGCTCGTTGAATTCTACTTCTTATTTGTACTTTGTAGACTTGTTGTAGACGGGCATCTCCGTAACGTTTGTCTAGTCGAGTGAACAAGGTCTGGTAACATTTTTCTTGACCCTTAGGAATCGATCTTAGGATATCTGCAGCATCACCTCGTAAAGCAGCAGTCAAGGAAACGGCTTTTTCTTGTTCTGTCCAATGATTGGCTGTCGCAATAGCTTCAAATTGTCTAAGGTATATGGACCAAGAGGACTTTCCATCAAATGGTGGCAATTTGAATCTCATATGATGTGTCATTTCGTCTCTAGATGATTCTTCTTTCACTACCGGATCTAAAGCTACCGTATTAATTGGTGGTAGCACTTTCGTGTTAGTTATCATGGTCTCTAATTGTTTGATTTTCTCTTCTACGTCTTCTATCTTGTCGTTTACATTTTTCTGTAACTTATCGAATGTTCTTGAGACTTCTTCAAATTTCTCATTGTTTTGAATACATATTTCTTTAATTATTTGTGAAGTCTCATCGAATCTTCTAGATACATTTTCGAATGTTTCATCGAATCTTTTGGAAACATTCTCTAATTTATCATCGTTTTTTCTAAAAGATTCTTCAATTTTTTTAGAAGTTTCTTCAATAATCATTTGCGACACATTTTTTATTTTCATTAAAACTGCTTCTTCTGCTGACTGGAACTGGAATGTCTCTGGGTCTTCTCCATTCTTGTTGAGAACAGTCTTCAGTCGTTCTTGGAGTATCTTCTTGGACCCGCTGCAGTCTTCATCACGTTCTTCTAGTTGCTCACGCAACTGCTTCACTGAAAGTTCTACTAGCAGCATCTTTGATCAGGCACACACGTACTTTTATTTTAAATGTTCTTTCGTACAAAGATCACTACCGAAATACGCGGATGTTCCCGACGAACAATACTTTTCAAAAGTCTTTTTTTTTAAAGTCACTGCTGCATTTATTTTCAAATAATTCAATTATTGTCCTCACACTGTGACACCAACTGTAGCGAGTTTAATAAAACGAGCGGTTCGAATTTATATCAATATATTTATTTATAACTTTACAGTTCGATACTATCTTATCAACTAAACTAATTCCTAAGATCGTTACATATATATACCAAAGTTACTATTTTCTAGAAAGTTCCCACCTCTAGGCGTATACGTGACCGATCGTTCTCTTGCCTTCGAGGGATCTATTCATCGATGATTCTCGATGCCGAGATGCTTCGAGATGCAACCGTTAGACGGGCCGCGCTGAATGCATTTTCGTAACAATACCAACACGAAATATTTAGGCGGCAGGTGTGTTCTTTTTTAGAATCACTTCGCCGAGTACACTGGCATTACAGCCACTAGACATATTTTATTATATACGCGTAGAAATAATATTTAAAGATTTCTATTAATGTTAAAGTTAAAGACACTTAAAACTTAAACTTAAAGAAATATACAATAATATGTTTCATTTATTTTGTATTAATGCATTATAAAGGGTTTTTATAAAGAACATTTGTTTGGAACACACTGTAACTGTAATCAAACGAAGGTGATATTTTGGCATAACACTTGATAACACTTATTTGTCAGTTGCGATGTTAACCTTTTTTTGTACTTTATTATTTTGAATTTTAAAGTGAATACCTCTTGTTTGATATTTTTACCTATTTAATAAAATCTGTTCTTTTTAGAACAAAATTAGCGTGACCTATTTGATTTAAAATGGAGTCAGGATTTTTTTATACTTTGGCAACATGTCAACTTCGGTCTCTGTCAATGATAATGCCGTGCAACGGTAAGTAAATTAGATGAAGTATACATTAATTTGTTTGGATCAAAATAGTATTTTTAATTTAAAAGTGCAGTCATTTTAGAATATTCGTAAATAACATTTGGCTACATAGTGATATCTATTGCCAGTAAAATCTTCACATGGAAAACGATACACAGAACTGACAGAACAGAAACACTTTATTTCTGTGGATTATGATGGGGAATTCGTATTTTTAATATTCACTTGCCAAAGTAGACGCTGATATTTGAAAAACATTTGAAATTGTATATTATTTGGACAGTTTTTATAATTGTCAATGTTTATTGTGTGCCATTTCTTTATAAATATATCGTAGTTCTCGCGGTAAAATTCAAAATACTAGGGCTATTTCGCCGGCCATATTGATCAAAGGTTGTCACTAAAAAAGACAACGACTAACTTCATTTCAATTGCTAGTCCCGGTGAATTGGTTTATCGGACAAAACTTCCAATAGTCCTTGTAGCAACAAAAGTAATTCAAAAATGACTGACCAACCGTAAGTAATAATACGTATATATTATAAATAAAAGTTTCCTAAAACTTTAATTGAGAATAATTCATAGTTTGAAGTAATCAAGTTCCATGTTAAAATGTGTTGTTGACCAACGGCCATGTTGCTTTGGAGACCGATATCGATTCTAGAATTTTCCAACTATGTACCATATATTCCAGTGTAGATTTTAGTGTATATGGTATAAGATTGTAAAATTTATTTTCTCAATTAGTTTTATATCTTCTGTTGTTTAAAATGGTTTTACTGTAGAATTAACATGAGGTTAACCTCACTTTTTCAGACTACCACCTCCAGTAATGTGGGCCCAAAGGTCCTCTATTGTATTTCTTACTATAAATTTAGAAGATGTTAAAAATCCGGAAATTAAGTAAGTATTCCTATATTTTGCACTGTACATAATGTTATGCTATTATAAACACTAAAGATCTAATGTGTCAACTATCTCATTATTATATGATAAAAATGATACTATACAACATGCCTATTCTAAATGGACTATAAAACAAGAAGTATATATCTTAGGTACAAAAAGAACGAAGACTATAGGTTTTTCTTTAAAACTAGGCTTTCATAAAGTGAAATTATCCATTTCATTGGCTTCATTGTAAACTATTATATGAGTAAAGCTGTTCACAGCTCTATTTACATACACTTAATACTTCAGTTCAGGCCTTCAGGATCATAAGAAATATCAATACTTAGCATTATATGATGTAATAGCTGCTTGTACCATTTACTCAAAAGCTATGTTACAACTAAAGAAAGTATGAATATCAAAGTAGAAATCCATAGTAGAAGTAAGACTGGAACATATAATGTATAAACAAGTTTTTAGTACCTTAAAAAATTAATACAATCAAGATTTCACACAATTTATTTATTTTAAAGCAAGAGATGAAACTTGTGTCCCTTAAAGTTAGAAAAGAGATTATTGACATTCTTAGTAGTATAAAGAAGCCATTTTGCTTCCATCTACTTTATACCAACCTAAGGTATAAATTTATACAATAAAGTGACCCAAATTATTCATATTTATTAATAAAGTGACCATTTTGTTTCAGGTTCAATAAAGATTCTATATATTTTAAAGGTACAGGGGGTGTAGAAAAAAAGAACTATGAAGTAACAATTCCCCTGTTTAAAGAAATTGATCCTGAACAGAGTAAGAGCTTCAATAAAGGAAGGTAATTAAATAATACACGAACATTAATGTTTTTCATTCATAATTTTTTGTGGCAAAAGTATAAAGTGCCGATGAAGTTAGCTACAAATTAGGGACAGATTTGTATTTGGCAGTGTTACCATATCATAAATAAATCACGAAAGAGCATGCAATATAATTTTAATTAATGTTACTAAACATTCTTTTTATGTTTTTAAAAGAAGTTTAATTAATTTAAATTGAATTCATTATAATATAAATTGACTTAAATTTTTAAAGCTTTTATATTCTTAAGTTTTTACATTTTTGACCTGTTAATAAAACATTCTTCCCACATTTCTTCTACTTAACACCCTCTCTGGTTCAACAATTGTTGTAGGCATTATTTTTAATTTAAATTTTGTTTATAGAATACACAAATTCACACAATTTAAATGTAGTTCAACGAATATAATGACAATCAGAACAAGTACCAGTAACTAATACTTAAAAAAAAGGTATTCAGGTACCATTTCATCCCAAAATTATAGGAAAATAGTCATAAAATTGAAATCTGCTGAACATCTTTGCAATCTGCAACTAATGTTTTCAAAGTTTTGACAGTATTGCCAGTTTTATTTGCTAATCTACCAAAGGCCAATTATAAATTTTTTTTCTAATAACTAACTGCAGCTAATATCAACAGAAACAAATATTCATTTGTTCGTGTTGTATATCAATTTAAAATTTTTTTAAAAATACACGATTTCATAAAATAATATAATAAAAATCTACTATTACAAAGCATATTTGAGGCATAAAACATATACATAATAAGGACATGGCAATACCACAAACAGAAATTTGACGGATCATCTGTAGCTAACTTCATCAGCACTTTCTCTATACTTTTGCCTTTTTTGTCTGGTAACGTATTAGGAAATAAACAGTAACTCATACAGCCAGCTATCTTTAACTTTTACCACAATTCACACTATTTTTCCATTTTGTCTTTCTAGCTCTACTAAATATTCAATTTCTTTTGTGATTTATTTTATTTTTATTTGTAGTATATTGTTACAAATATACTTTTTTCTTTCATATTTTTTTATATTATACATGAGTAATGTTTACATTCATTTTTTTTATTCTGTCTGTAAAATTATATGAATAAATATTTTCAAACTGCATTTCATATTCTTCATAAGTGTCTGCTTCAATATTTAATTTTTTAACAGTATAACTTGTTCTGAGTTACCTGTTATATTAATGTTTGTTATATTCTTAGGTGTATTGAAATTATCGTAACTAAAGCAAACACAGATGGACCCTACTGGCCTACATTAACGTCTGACAAAAAGAAACACCATTGGTTAAAGTGTGATTTCAACAAATGGCATGACGAAGATGATTCTGGTGATGAGGGAGTTGGAGGAATGGGCGGTGGAGATTTTGATGAAATGATGAGGCAGATGGGAGGTCTAGGTGAGTTATAATTCAATAACAGTATCACTATTTTTATGCAGTTGATCTGCATATATTATTATTTAGATTCATAGTTTCATGTTTTATCAAGTAATGAACTGCTTACCAATGTTTTATTATATATTTTTTGCCATATTTGTTGCCTTATTCTACCTGTTTCCTTTCTTCCAAACATTTTTCTTAACATACATTCCCAAATTTATAACTTTTCTCTTGTTTTACTTGCTGTGATTGATATTTTCCATGTAAAATGTATGCTTAGGAGATTATTAATATTTATTTTACATTGTTAACACAGTATTTTCTCTTTGTTTTTGTTTCTTGATCTTCCTTTTCACTATTCTTTCTGCTTTTACCACATTTGTTTTCCATCCTACTGTTTTCTTTTTTTCCAAAATTATACTGTCCCAAATCTATAATTTGTGTTTTGTTTTACTTGTCATGGTTCATATTTCACATGCATCTATGAAAAGATAGAGAATATATATGTCTAATTTTAATTATTTCTTTTGTAGGAGGTGGGGCTGGTAAACCTAACTTTGATGATATTGAAGGGGATGAAGTGGGAGATTCAGATGATGAACCTATTCCTGAACTTGAGTAGTTTGATAAGTTAAGGATTTTTTTTTAAATTTTTGTATGTTAAGTTATATGAATAAAAGTGATAATTTCTAAAATTCTCTTTTGGACAAACTTTTGGTTATTTTTTCCAACATCGGGGTTAATGGGAATAACAACCATACACCAAATATGTAGCAGCGGTTTCTACGTGTTTCGAAATACTTAGATATATAAGTAAACTAGTGTGTATATGTTAAGATTTTTAATTATAATAAACTATATTGATCTAATCTGTGGTGTTCTCATTTGTAAGTAATAAAAATGACAGTTACTTGTAACCATGATATATAGGAAAATTCCTGGTTACCATTCAAACTTATTTCAATTCATAATGATAATGATTTCAATTCAGGTTTAAGACAGTAGCAGAGATTAAAGCTTTTTTTGGAAATAAATGATAAAAACAGAAAATGCAAACAGGAAATAAAATAAAGGGGTGACAATATTAACTTTTACAAAATGCATGGATGTTTTGCTGTATGCTGGTGACTAATGTCATTCATTACCAGGAGTAAAATATGTATCATTTATGCCTGGTTGCACCAATAGATCTTAAGCTCCAGCTTAGCCAAGCTCTGCTTATAGCTAGGGCTGCCTTAACCCTCACTTACGTTGCACCATAATTTTTGATTCTAAAATATTCTTTATATTCTTAAAAATAAAAATACAAAATTTGGTTGATCGCCGTCGGACGGTTTGGTCGTGGTCGGTCGATCAGTCTGAGCTAAGGCCTACCTAAGGCACGTCTTAAGCTTAAGATATGTTGGTGCAACCAGGCATTAAACCTTTTTGTTTAAGTAGATGACGAATCCATTATCACAATTGCTGTTAGATATCAAATCTAGTTTTATTTCCGAATTAAATGTCAGTTTTTCTATACCTGTTCTGGTTTTGGCAGCATTTATTTCTATAAAATTATTTTTTTTTATCCAATAAAGAAGCATAATTAATTTATTTACGGAGAACACAAAGAATGTAAACTAAAAAAATTGATAATTGTTTGAAAATCCTCTACATATTAGAAGAAGACTGACTATATTATATTCACCTAACAGAAAAGTAGAATATCAACACAAGGGACGCGCATGATCAATTCATTCCCAAAATCTAGAGATGCTGAAGATGTATCTATTTGTTACAAAATCACTTATACTGTAACTAATTATATACAAAATCATATCAAAAGTAACAAGTAGAAACTCAAGAGTAACGATATGGATTCAGTAATCCTTACGAATTACATTTATGTCTGTTGAATTTAATTATATAAATATAATTTTTACTTTTAATAGCTCTATATATCGCACCTCCGCTTAAAGAGTCTCATAACTCAAAAAAAAAAAAAATAATAAAAACGGTTTTATTGTACCAACAGTTTAATATAACTACAAACTCCTATCTCAAAAAGTGTCACGTCTATCGGTCAAGTATTTATCGTTAGATGCACTGAATACAAACAGTGTCACGTATCGGCTTGCGCAAAGTAGTTGTCTATTGAAGATTTATATAAAGCATTGTTTGTCGAGTTTAGACAGTATATGAAATTATCTTATTTAAAACAATCTGCAAACAATGTGCTCAAAAAGATTGACACCTCATCTCCTAGGACAGTTTATGTGATTAAGGTAAGTTATAATACACATATTTTTTACGATAGTGTTCCATGTTCGCGTATGACAATATACTTGATTCAAGCTATTAAAGAAAGAATATTTTTATTTCACTTAAAGTGGATTATATGGATACAGGACAGTATATGTGATTAAAGTTCCTCAAAAAGTTTATTTATTTTATACTTAATGAAACTGTTTTGGGTCATGTTATGATGATATTTTTTTTTTTTTTTTTTTTTTGGATGAGAATCTTCTAAAGAGATCTGGGAAGAGGACCCAGATACTGTTGGATTCGTCTGAACTATAACGTTGGAATGTTGATAAGGTTAGTTCAGGCGCCTACCAACTAAACTCACCCTCTCTTCCAGCAGCGCACCCGGAACTTTTCTTGGCGAATGCAACTTCGGGAGCACCACCGCGGTCTCCAATTTTCACGAAAACCTAGTATTGTCCTCGGTAGAGAGTCTCAAAGGTAGCTGAGTGACATAATGACAGTATAAAAACAATATAAGTAAGTAAATAGGACAGTTACACTATAAAATTAGTACAGAACGCTGAAGTATGTGTCTAATGAGCAAAAAAACGCGAATTACAATTATTTTATTAGTCTTTCAGCCTATTCCTTCATCCTGTCTCGCTCTTTCTAGCGTCTCCTTTTTTTTTATGATTTCCGTTATTATTTCTAACACATAATCGTAGTTCTTTCTGTTCTGCATAGCTAAGTCCAGTATATTATTGGGCGTGACCTCTCCTAGTTTAATTCTCAGTCTTTGACGTTCTTGTAGAAAGACATTACATTCGAAAATGCAATGTTCCGCGTCATCAGTCACACCACAATCCATACAGATATCGTCATTTGTTTTTTTAATTCTGTATGTATACGACCTAAAAGAACCGTGTCCGGTCAGGAATTGTGCAAAGAAATAGTTTATTCTCTTGAACCTACATTTGTACCATGCTTTTACATCGGGTATTAGTATTTTAGTCCATTGTGCTTTTTCCCTTTGTGCCTCCCATTCAGATTGCCATTCATCAAGGATCTGGTTCCTAATTTCGTCTCTTACCTGTGTCAGGTGGCCGTTGCCGTTATTGTATAGGATGGCTCTTTCTTTCGCTAGGAGGTGAATGGGGAGCGTACCAGCAATCACCTGTAAGGCTATCGTAGATGTAGTCCGGTACGCACTAACTACTTTAAGAAGGGGCTTTCTTTGAGCTTTTGTAATCAAGTCTTTGTACCTGGCAAACCTTAAGACTTCAATCCATACGGGGGCACCGTACAAAAGGGTCGAATGCACTATTTGCAAGTACATTCTTCTTTTATAATTACTTGGCCCTCCTATATTAGGCATTATTTTCATAATGGCCGCTGTTCTGCGTTCTGCTGCTTGGACTACATTTATCAGGTGTTTGGTAAATCGTAGACCTGTATCAAGGTGTATGCCTAGATATTTAGCCCAATTGGTTGGGACTATCGTCGTACTTGCAAATTGGAAAGTCAGGTTGGGTATCGCTCTAGGCCCTTTTAATATAATTATCTCTGTTTTATTACACGCCAGCTGTAAGTCGTTAGTTGTCATCCACCTATTAACTTTTCTCCAGCATATATTAACTTTATTTATTGCATCCAAGTTTGTGTCACCCTCTATTAGTATTGCTAAGTCATCTGCATATGCAATTGCTGACGCACCTCTGCCGTAATCTATTTCCAATACTGTGTTATACAAGACGTTCCACAACGTTGGACCTAATACAGATCCCTGCGGTACTCCAGCCGATAGTTTTGTTTTTTCTTTGTTTGACACTTTAATATATCTGTCGGTGAGGTAATTTTTAATTATATTTATTAGGTAGTCTGACACTCCAGCGGTTTCCAGTTTCCTTATGATGTATGCCCAATTGGCAGAATTGAAGGCATTCTTTACATCGAACATAACCAGGATTGCCCATTTATTTCTTGTTTGTTTGACTGTATCACATATAAATTTTACCGCGTCTATAGCTGATCGTGTTTTTCTAAAACCGTATTGCTGGTCAGAAATAGCTCCTGTGTTTAAGAGCTCCTGTTCAAGGCGGCGTTTTATGAGGCTTTCATAGAATTTCCCAATACAATCTAATAAACATATAGGCCTGTATGAACTAGGCCCGTCTGGTGGTTTACCAGGTTTTAAGATTAAGACTAAATTTGCAATCTTCAATTGGTCTGGGAATTCTTGGTTGTGTAGGAGCTCATTTAATACCTTTCTGGTGACTTCAGGATTTTCCTGTACCATAATATGTATGGCTTCTGGTGGCACACCATCTGGGCCAGGGGATCTCCCGATTTTTATGTTTTCGGCAGCTAATCTTATTTCATCTATGGTGAACTCGTCAGGTCTATTATCTAGAGTATACGGTAGAAATTGGCATTCGGGCTTATTAGGAAAAAGGGCTTTCGCAATTTCCTTTCTTTTTTCTACACAAAGGTTATATGGAGCCTCGGACCTCAGTGTCTTAGTGGCAATTTTATAGGCTTCACCCCATATATCGTTGTCCAGCGTGTCACACAGGTTCTGCCAGCATGTGCGTTTAGCCCGCTTTATTTCTTTATTTAGTTCTTTCTTTACGCGCTTATATTCTTCCAAGTTTTCTTGGGTCCTGTTCCTTTGTGCTATTCGCCTGACTCTGAAACATTTTGTTCTTTTAAGCTGTATCTCGTCGTTCCACCAATAGGGTACAGTATATGTGACACATTTTTCCTTACTGCTGCTTCTGTATGCATGTATTAGGTTTTTATGGTAGTTTGTGAAGTTAGTAGCTTCTTCTCGTAGGTTGCTAATTTTATTTTTAAATAGGTCTTTGTTAAAACTTATCTTTTTCCTACCGCTCTTCGTGACCTTGATGCCAATCTCGTAAACAATATATCTGTGAAAAGTAAAAATGTTTTCGTCAAGAACGTCCCAGTTAGATATTTGATTGGCATAACTTTCGTTTACGAGGGTAATGTCTATGTGGCTTCGGCTTTCACCCCGGACAAAAGTAGGTTTTCCATTATTTAGCGCTGTTAGATTGGCCGTAGAGATCCATTCGTTCCATAAATCCCCTCTATAGTCATTTCGTGGGGAACCCCATAAGATAGATTTAGCATTTATGTCGCCAGCGACTATAAAATTCTTTTCTATATGTGACATTTGTATTATGGATTCAATGTGCTGTTTGTATTGATCTCTACCTATGTTGGGTGAGATATAACAGGCAATAATAGCTACTTTTTCTAATTTGATTAGTACGTGCCCCTCCCCTTTTATAATCTTATTTATGCACACTTTATGATTTATGGGGTATATTGCTACATCTTCCCTGTTGTCTGTAATCCATCTGCTATTTTGGATGATTCTCTTGTTTGGTTCAGGTACTATTAGAATATCTGCTCCAATTTCGAGGGCTTTCGCATGAATCAGATCATGTGCAACCTTGGCTCTTCCGATGTTCACTTGTAGAATTTTTAGTCTTTTTAACCCGGTTAAAGCCATTTTGAAATCATTACCTTAGTATCATGTGTTAAAGGTCACATAGGATGACGGAAAAGGCACTTAGACTGAAGTTGTCAGAACTCCCTGTGACAACGTCACTACACTAAAGGTAGCTGTAGCTTCGTCGCACAGAGATTTGGAGGACTCCAAAAGGGAGTTAACATGAACCTTGTTTGGAGAAGGGAAAGGAGGTATGGGAGTGAGCGTAGGAGGGAAGACATCCGCGTATTCTCCTTGCTGTTTTCTAAGTTTCTCATGATATCTCGCCTCCTGAAGGGCCTTCTTAAAATGTGTGCAGTCCATGCTGCCAGTTCTATGGGCGTCATTACAAAGAACGCACCTTTCTTCCTCTTGACACTTCTCTGCTTCGTGCTCTGATTTACCGCAACGGTAACACATACCACTCCTATCAGGGCCTCGACATTTATCGGTTATGATGATATAAGTGATTAAGGTAATTCAATAATCAATCTTTTTATTCAAAGAAAATGAATTATTACGTTTATATTATGACAATAAATTTAATTAAAACACTTTTCAAGTCTTATATTTTTAAAAATAATACTGGTCTGCGTTTGGTTATTGTAGGGTACATGATTAAAATAATCTCCAAAGTAGTTTATTCCTCATTGAAACACATCTCCGTTGAAAATATTTTAGTATTTGTATGTATTAATTAAGCTATAATAATATTGTATTTAATCATTATTTTTATGTTTTTAGGTGGCTCTGAACTGCACTTTTTATAATGTCCAGATCAAGAAAAATCTTAGCTATGTCCCTGGAACAGACCAAGGAGCAACATAATCAAGAAGGAACAGGTAATTCAGAGAGATCGACAATAAATCATAACGATCTTGAACCTCCAAACGACAATTCAAATAAAGAAAATACTTTTAATTTGGGTCTAGAAAGTAATCAAGATTATTTAACTAAAAGTGAACATAATCAAGACAAAACAGATAATTCAGAGAGATTGACCATCAATCATAATGACCTCAAACCTCTAAACGACAGTACAAATAAAGAAAATACTTTTAATTTGGGTCTAAAAAGTAATCAAGATTATTTAACTGAGAGTGAACAAACAGATGATTCAGTTAAAGATCCGAACTATGAGAGTAATCCTAAGAAGAGGAAAAAATATTATGTCCTAACTAATTGTCGATCATCATCATCATGCACTTCAAGTTCTTCGTCGTCCAGTTCCAATTTATACTCATCAAGCTCGTCATCCTTGTCAAGTGGGGAAAACAACCGTGAGGAACGTCCTTCTACTTGACAGAACTCTGATGACAGAAATCACCAACAAGGAGAGTTCGAGACAGAAGAATTGAAGACTACACGTAAAAAACAGCGTGCTGAAGGACAGTAGAAGCAAAATGTGGATAAACTTTTAAGAAATTCAGGATTAGCTTATCAAACTAAATCTGGACGAGCTATTTTAAAAAAATCAATTAAAGAAGGTTGTGGAGAACGTTGTAGATTGAAATGCGGTTCTTTTCTTCCTCACGAAACAAGGTTCAAATTGTTTGAAAGTTACTGGGCTTTGCAAAATTGCAGAGGCAATTCTTACATAAACATTTAAAACCTATCGAAGTTATGTACTGCTATGTCAAAGCACAAAAGCCACGGAAAAAGAATTATGCTTTCTACTTAGAAGTTGAAGGTGTATTGAAAAGGGTTTGCAAAACCATTTTTAAAAATACCTTGGATATTAACGACAAAACCATCAGAACTGTAATATGACAAATCGGAGGGGGGGGGGGGTGGGTTTGAAAGGAGACCAAAGAGGGAAGTATAAGAAACACTTTACAGTTGGCGAAACTATTAAAAATAAAATTAGGGATCATATAAAATCAATACCTAAAATAGAAAGTCATTACTTGAGGGCACAAACTTCACGCGAATATATTGACGGAGGAAAGACCATTTCTGATCTGAATAGGAATTATGTGGACCAGTGCAAACGAGATGGTTGTAATTATGGAAATTATGTAATGTATTCACGGATATTTAATCGTGAATTTAACTTGAGTTTCTTCGTGCCGAAAAAGGACAGGTGTGAGCTTTGCGTAGCCTATGAAAACTCTAATTTGGAAGACAAAGAAAAAATATGAAGATCACATAACAGAAAAACAATTATCAAGGGAAGAAAAAAACAAAGACAAGGAAGCTCTTAATATAAACAAAAACTTGGTTGTGGCCGTATATGACTTGCAGGCTGTGTTGCAGTTACCTCGTGGCGATGTTTCTGTTTTTTATTATAAGAGCAAACTTAATAATATGAATTTCACGATAACCAAATTGAAAAAAGCAGAAGACAAAAAAATTGGCTGCAAGAGAAAGCAACCGATAACAAGTAGCGACAGTAGACTTGAACCTCTTGTAAATCACAGTATTACAGAGTGCTACTTTTGGCACGAGGGTGAAGGCAACCGAGGCGCAGATAAGATCGGCAGCTGTGTGTTGAAATTTATTGAAAAAGAATTGAATAATTATACGGGTGACGATTCTATTGATTTAGTGTTTTATTCGGACAACTGCTGCGGCCAGAACAAGAATAAGTATATTGTCGGGGTATACATGTATGCAATAATGAAATACGATAAATTAAATTTAATTACTCATACATTTTTTGTACCAGGTCACACCCAGAATGAAGGCGATTCTATTCATTCGGTGATAGAAAAACAGATCAAGCGTTCGTTGAAATCAGGTCCAATTTACGTTCCCAGTCAGTATGTACAGATAATTAGATTAGGCAAAGAGATAATTAAAAGAGGCAAAAAATCTGGGGAACCACTAAGAGTAAATGAGCTGTCACATAGAGATTTTATTTCTTTAAAAACATTAATCACTGATATGGGTATAACGACTTTAAATAAGATAAAGATTTCTGAAATAAAAATGATGAGTATTACCAAAGATAGACCAGATGTTTTAAAATACAAAAGGTCTTACGTGGACACTGAATGGTCAGAAGGTAATTTATTAACCCGAAATAAAAAACTAACTATTCCTAACAGAAAGCCTGCATATGCTCCGAAATTACCGATTAAGGAAAATAAAAAGACTGATTTGATGAATTTGGTTCAAGGTAACCACATTCCTCATTTTTACTCTGACTTTTTCAATAATTTGTAGACAACCTAGAGGAGAAATAGACTTTTATAAACTCTTAATTAATTGATTTCTTGTCTAAGAATTATTTTTGATTTGTATTCTTTTGTCTTTTGGCAATATTTTATTTAGGTTTGTTACTTTTAGTTAAACTTGGATATTAATAATAATAATATTATATTTTGTATGGCTTAAACCACTTTAAATAAATAATATTTCGTATAATATACTATTTTGTAGAGCTTCAAAAACTATTGTAACTCACTAAAATAGTTATTTTATCTAATTTTAATAGTTTTTGAATAAAACCCGAAAATGTTGTAGAACAAACTTTAAACGTCATTTTCTCGAAACTTTGCTTTTTTGACTTATGACACTCTTTGAGCGGAGGTGCGATATGTGTGTGTTAGTATAATTATAGTGTTGGTTCATAATTATAGTGTTATTTAAATATACTTAGAACTGTGAACATTTTTAAAGTGTTTGCTGTTTTCTATCAACTTAGTAAATTTAATATTATTTCGACTCTATTATAATAATTCTATCAACTTAGTAAATTTAATATTATTTCGACTCTATTATAATAATTATCTATTATGATGATAAAAGGGTTGCAAGTGTGAGTACCTAATTGAACAGATATATTAAAAAGGTCAATACTCACAATCTAATATTTACTTTCACAGTTTTATAAAAGCGATCGGTTTTAAGGCTTACAATATTTGCCTCATCCCCAGGCCCAGCAAAGAGGTTGTTTTGTTAAAAAACAATAATATAGATATTGCCAATAAGAAGTTTTCCGCTTACATCCAGCGACCTATTTCGAGGCTTACAATATTAACCTCATCCTCAGGCAAAGCAACGAGTTTGTTTTGTTAAAAAATAATAACATAGACACCGGCAATAAGAAGTTTTCCGATTACATCCAGGATCTTCATCTTTTCCTGATGACACTATCATTATAGTGAGGTGATATGTTGATCATTATAATATGTATGTAAATAAAACCTTTAGGTCTTTACCTTGTAAGAACCTGTGACAAAAACTACAAAAAAAGGACATCATAGTGCATAATATGTAATTTTCCATCTTCCACAAGTTTTTAAACTATATACAGTCCGAATGTGGCAGCTTATACTGTATTTGTCTTTAACTACTTTTAATTTTATTACAAACCAGAAGGTAATTCTACCTTTTTAACAATAAAAAACTTTGACAACAAAAACTAGAGCATCCAAGAAGTATTTTAAGGATCAAAGACAACAATCTTTAGCAACAGTTACACAGTTAGAACACATTAATGCTCAACCATATTCCCAAGAGCCTTTTATTTACATACATATATAATGATCAACATATCACCTCACTACAATAGATAATGTCATAAAGGAAAAGATGAAGACAGACAGTACCCTGGATGTAAGCGGAAAACTTCTTATTGCCGATATCTACGTTATTGTTTTTTAACAAAACAAACTCATTGCCTTGCTTGAGGATGAGGGAAATATTGTAAGCCTCGAAATCGGTCGCTTCTGTAACACCTTGAAAATAAATATTAGATTGTGAGTATTGACCTTTTTAATATATCTGTTCAATTATCTATTATTTTATTAGAATGTATTATATTAGAATTAGCCTGAAAAATAATACTTTATAGGTTTGTATATAAAATTTATTTAATGAAGCTCGATCCAACACAACTCCGGAAAATTGGAAAAATTGTGTACAGCATGTTACCCAAAAAGTGAAACCAAAAATGTTTGTTCTAGTTACTCAGAATAATATTTTGCACTAAGTTTAAGTATTTGTGGATTAGGCCTACCGGGGAAACAACATAAAAAAAAACACCATTATCACTCGTAACTTCTACCTCTATGGTAGTATGAAAATGAGTTCTTATCTGCCTACCGGTGACGAATGTTGGCGATCATCATGGCAATCTTCACCTTATCTCCCACCGCGAAAAAGCTGCATAGATGTTGTGTTGAACCAAGTTCTGAGGTTCTTAAACCAGGACGTTCTTCTTCCTGGACCCCATTGTCCAAATATTTTTCCTAGCAGGATGGCTTGTAGAAGGGCATATCTGGATTCATTTCGCATAATCTGTCCAAAGTACTGTAACTTTCGAGCTTTGATGGTGGTCAGTACCTCTCGGTTCTTCTTCATTCTTCTGAGGATCTCCTTATTGGTGACTCGGTCAGTCCATGGGATTTTGAGTATTCTTCGATATAGCCACATCTCAAATGCTTCCAATTTTCTGCACATATCTTCGTTCAAGGTCCACGATTCAATACCATAAAAAACAACAGAGAAGACGTAGTATTGCAACATTCTTACTTTTATACCGAGAGAGATTGTGGCTCTTGAAGAAGGCCCCCATCCGGTTAAAGGTGGATCTAGCTTTTGAGGTGGAAATGAATAGCAATGATAATAAAAGATACGAAATTATTCGAAATTACATAAACAAAATGGAATATTTTAAAAATGAAATACTGTAACCCATTTTACTCATTGTACCTATGTAGTTTTCCAGTACTTACTTTTCGTAATTCGATATTACTTATATGTAATAGTAAAAAGATTTTTCATCATTTTCAAAGAAAATCTTTCGTTTTACATCCGCAAAGTATGTTCGTTTGTGCGTTGTCGCTTATGCAATACTTGGGGACGATCTATCGATGTATTCATATAGTTTTGACCCATTTTGAACCATCTTCGACATAACCGGCATTAAAGTCAAAAACAGTGACGTCACAATTCTTCTAAATACACATTCGTTTCTGCTGACACAAATAAATGTTAAATCGAAATCGAAACATCGAAATAAATTTTATTTATTAATGTTAATGTAATGTTAAATGTATGTCTATCTACCTAATAATATATGTATAAGTATTTTCCCTAACTTTTACACATAAGAAGAGGTCTCTTTTTATATCATTAATGATAATATTATTACTTATTTCCAAATATTGGTCTTAAAGCGTAAAATGTATAAAGCAACTTTCTAATTTTTGCCTTTTGATTAATACCACAATTAACTAATGATGTGTGAATGGCAGTTTACAAAAACTAATATTTAAGTATACTTCTTTGGAAGATTAATTATTGATTACTATTATTTTAACAGCAATCCTAAAAATTATAAATTAATTCATT